GAACGCAGGCAGGGAACACGGGCAGGGAATTTGGGCAGGGAACTTGGGCAGGGAACGCAGGCAGGGAACATGGGCAGGGAATTTGGGCAGGGAACTTGGGCAGGGAACGCAGGCAGGGAACACGGGCAGGGAACACGGGCAGGGAACATGGGCAGGGAACACGGGCAGGGAACGCAGGCAGGGAACACGGGCAGGGAACACGGGCAGGGAACGCGGGCTGCACACGCTGCGGGGTTGCCCCAGCGCGCTCGGGCAGCGCCCGGAGGTGTGCGGGGGGCACAGCCGCTTCCACCAGCGCGCTCGACAAGTTTCCGGTCCATACCTCCCACTGCTACTTTATTTACTGCAGCTGGCCAGCCTTTTATAGCCTGTTTCATGTATTAAAATTCAAATGTGGAAAACATTACCAGTATCCTCCTTGATTTTTTTTTTTTTTTTTTTTATTTTTAAATTTTTTCCCCCTTCAACTTCCTTTTCAGCGTGGAATGTATCAAATGGTCAAAGGCTAACTTCAGACTGACTCTACTCAAAAACTATTTCCTTTGTTCTTCTGTTTTTACTTCAAAATTCATACCAGTTTTCCAAAAGAAATTATCGGGCCCAGCTCTTTCACCCAAGTTACAGTTTCAGACAGTGAGTAATGCTGCTTGGGAACGCAGCAGACGCTGGGTTTTCAGAGAAATGTCCCCGTCTTGGTTGCAGCAGAAGTGCTGCCCTCAAAACATCCGAATTTTGCACGGTTACCTTGCTCTGGCCATATATTTACTTAACAAAGTCCCAACAAAGCCAGTCAGACCCCATCCCTCGGCATGTCTCCTGAAAAACCCAAGTGCCTACATATTCCTCAAAATATGAAGGCATTTTTTTTTTTTTGGACGCATGACACTGGCGCTTCGATTTCTCATTGTTGCTGCTTTTTTTTTTTTTTTTTTTTTGGTTTAAATCTAACTTCACCTACATCTGGTATTTAAGTGAGGAGCACATATTTATGGAACAAACTGTCTCTGAAGTGATGCCCTGGGTGCATGTTCCATCAGCTTAACATATGCAAAGCGAACAAAGCTACAAAAATTAAACTCTTTTCTCTTGATTGAGAGCAGATATGCAGAAACAGTTGTAAGTCACAGATCTGGCTTTTAATAAAGCCAGATTTCTTCATTAAAAGCAGTATTGTTTAAACACTGGAGGAAAAAATAGCTTTGTACAAACTAAAATCTTAGATTATATGTATCCCAAGTGTATTTAACATATTACCTGAGGCCAAGCTAAATTACAATCTAGAATTTCCTTTTGTGAATTCTCAGCAACTGCCACAGAGAGCAAAACAATGTCTGGTTCATGCTAATTTTATTGGGGAAGGGGAGAGGAGATGGATTTAACTGAGCTGCTGAAAAAGCATCTTTTTACCTCTCAGAGCCTTTCGCCAGACCATTTTCAGTTAACACTTCACATTGTTTTCAATCTGCAAATGGCGCAGTCTCAGTTGTGGCTTTTAATGCTATTTTCCCCACGACAGAATCACTTAGAGTACCATTTAGTTTAACGAGGAGCAGAGCCTGTCACAAAGCTGCCCTAATAAAACCAGACGAACTCCCCCTTATTTTCCTTCCTCAGGTGCTTAATTTCAACAACTGAGGAATTAAAATTTGCATTTTAATAACCCGAAGCAGCAGAAACTGCGGGCAAATATTTAGCTTAGGGCACCGTGCGTGGAGAAGTTTGAAGGGGGAGAACTGTTTGGTCAAGGATGGCTGGCTGAGGGTCAACTGGACATCAACTTTTTTTCTCGCAGGGAGCTGGGATGTTTCAATTTCGGAACGCGACGGCAGAGGTCGGCTGGGAAGGCTCTGGGCCTCGGCCAGGCCGTCCGAGGCCTTTCCCCCGCCCCGGCCCGGCCCGGCCCTGCTGAATAAAGCCACGCTCGCCAGCCCGCCGGAGCCTCGGCCTCTCGCGATTATCGCGACTAGCGGGGGGGGGGGGGGGGGGGCGTCCCCGGCGCGCAGCCGATGGGGAACGTACGTGGTAATTATCAAATAATTGGCCCCCACAAGAAGCGCCTTCCTTCCCCTAGCAGTTGCCTCACACCCTGCCATCAAAGTTTTTATTGTTTTTTCTTTCTCTTTTTCCCTTTTTCTGTTTTCTTCTTCCTTTTTCTTTCATTCCTTTCTCTTTTTCTTCCTTTCCTTTCTTCCTCTGTTTTTTTCTTCCTTTTTCTTTCCTTTCTTTTTTTCTTCCTCTTTCCTTTTTTCCTCTCTTTCCTGCCTTCCTTTCCTTCCTTCCTTTTGTTTTCTTTTTTCTTTTTCTTTATTTCTTCATCTATCTTTCTTTCTTTCTTTTTTCTTTCTTTCTTTCTTTCTTTCTTTCTTTCTTTCTTTCTTTCTTTCTTTCTTTCTTTCTTTCTTTCTTTCTTTCTTTCTTTCTTTCTTTCTTTCTTTCTTTCTTTCTTTCTTTCTTTCTTTCTTTCTTTCTTTCTTTCTTTCTTTCTTTCTTTCTTTCTTTCTTTCTTTCTTTCTTTCTTTCTTTCTTTCTTTCTTCTTTCTTTCTTTCTTTCTTTCTTTCTTTCTTTCTTTCTTTCTTTCTTTCTTTCTTTCTTTCTTTCTTTCTTTCTTTCTTTCTTTCTTTCTTTCTTTCTTTCTTTCTTTCTTTCTTTCTTTCTTTCTTTCTTTCTTTCTTTTTTTCTTTCTTTTCTTTCCTTTCTTTCTTTCTCTTTCTTTCAATTCCTTCTCCTTCTTTCTTCCTTTTCTTTCTCTCGCTTTCTCTGTCTCCCTCTTTCCTTCTCTCTTTTCTTTTTTCTTCCCTTGCGAAAAAAGGGAGGAATCCTGTCTGAATCCTGTCACATAGAACTCTAAATGTTTGCATTTTCCATATGATGTCTAATCCTATTTGGAATGCTTCTGAACATTTGGCCTTGATTACATCTTGGAGCAATGAATTTCACAGGTCATTGTGTGTTGAATAAAAAGTATTTCTTTTTGTCAGGTTCACTGAATGTCCCCTTGTTCTTTAATTATGAGGCAGGATGAATAGGAGAGCTAGATTTACCTTCTCTATGCTGTCCATTATTCTATGTACCTCTATTATGTCTCCTCTTATTCATCTCCTTTCTAAACAAAATCACCACAATCTGTTCAACCTCCCTTCACATGAAAATCCTTCCGTGCTTGCAATCATTCCTGCTGTTTGTCCCCGAACTCCTCCTAATTCCACTACGCTTTTTTTTTTTTTTTGAGATAGGAACACCAAAACAGAAGACAGCTCCGGGGAAGGTATACACACATGTACGCATGTGTAAATATATACCCAAGGCATAGACTGCCACTCCATCAGTCCTTTCTCATGTGCCTTTGCAATTCAATGGGGTTTTGGTCTTGTTTTAAGGGATTTTGGTCTTGTTTTAAGGGATTCTTGCACACCGAGGAGAAATTTCCCTGTGACTCCAGCAGAGGCACACGCTCCACTCCCAATAGGCGTATGGTTAATTGAAATTCTTTCTTCTCATCTGCCCTGCCTTGCCCTTAGCATGTGGGATGAGCAGGGGATCAAGCCTAGTCCTCCACAGCGCCGCGCAGCAGCAAACTGGCCACGGATCTGTCAGGTCCCTTTCTATTTCCACATATTTCCCCCCACCCGCCCCCCATCTTAATAAACCCAAATAGCTCGAACCATCTGAAAACGCTGCCAGATAACTAACTCCTTGCTCCCTTCCTCCATTCCACGTCTGAGTAAGCGTTTCTATTTCGGGAATGAAATTTGGAAGTATAAAACCGAATGCCTTTCGATCCTGTCAGAGATTGCACGGATCTGGTTCAGCTCTGCACGTGCCCAACTCTGCCGCTTCCCGACCCAAAATTGCCATTTCCCGACCCAAAATTGCCGTTTCCCAGCTCCTACAGGACCGTTGCTTTTTCATGAACTTCTGCCGCGGGACTTTAAGAGTTTGGTAGGCCCACACGCACTGTGTTAGATGGTTTTCCTTCTTATCTTCCCGACACATTAAAACCCCCAACCTATTGAAGAGACACGGCTTTCCTTCGCGAGGAAGCAGGCAGCTGCAACGGAATTCCTCTGCAAAGTGCCAGGCGTGTTCTGGAGACCCAAAGTGGTGCCCGTAAGGCAAATTACAGACCTGACCCCACCCCGACTTTTGTGAAAACCCCGTTCGCCCAGGCAGCAGCGACAGACCCGCGACTCCGTCACGCCAGCACGAGCCTGCCAGCCCCGGGAGGTCCTGCAGAGCCAGGTTTCTCTGAAGCCCCTATTTCAGAAGGGTCGCTCAACCCACAGGGAAGCCCACGCCACGGTGAGCACCTGCACCTCCAACTCTGAACTACCTCCCCACCCTGGGGCTTTAAGCACGCGTCGAAACCAAGGACAAGATTAGCTCCCGTTCCTCAAACCTTCTCCACGTCAAAACGGCGCCCGGCTTCCCCCGCGAGGGGTGAAACGCAACCCTCACGAATTCTTTTCGGGAGCAAAAAAAAAAAAAAAAAAAAAAAACGAAAAGGCCTTTCGGGACCTGCGGCGGGTGGACGTTCACCCGGCCCGGGAGCGAAAGAATAACTGAAGCCAAAGGGTTTCACACGCCCGGCGCCGCCGCGCAGGCGGCTACGAGTTAAAAGCGGGGCCGTGCCACCGGCTGCTGGAGCGCGGCCACGGCGGGGTGCGCCTGCCCCACGGCGACACCCGCACGGGTGGCCAACGGCCGTAACGCCCAAGCAGCTCGGTCCTGGGGGGACAAGAGGGACACGGGGTGGGGGGGGGACAACCAGGCGCGGGGATCGGAAGCTAAAGGCCGGGGCGGGGGGGGGGGGGTGGGTGGGCTCGGCGCTGGAAAACGCCGCGGGGCGAAGGAACAGCGGGGGACCGCACCCTCCCCGCAGGCGACGCTTGCGAATTCCACGCCCTCCCCCTCCCCTCCTTCACCCATCCCTTCCTTTTCCCACCCCCCCCCAAGCTTCAGGCGGCGAGTTTGTCACCCCCAAAAGTGTCGCAGGGCTTACCATGAGCGAGTGCCGGTTGGCGGAGAGCAGGCCGGTGCCGTAACCGGAGCCCAGCCCGGCCATGGCTCCGTTGTGCGAGGGCCCTATCAAGCCGTGCATGTCGGCGTGGCCCCCCGGCATGGCGGGGGCCGGTCCCACCGCGTGGTTGCGGAGGACGTGGATGGCGTCGTCCAGCCTCTCCAGGCGGTCCTCGATCCGGCTTTGCTGTTGGGGTGCGAGAGAAAAAGCGGGAAGAGCATCAGCAGGCGCGCGGGGGCGCGGTCACTGACAGCCAGGCCTTCCTTCTCAACCCCTTGGTGCCTTTTTTTTTTTAAGTTTTGGTTGGTTTTTGGCTTTTTTTTTTTTTTTTTTTTTTTTTTGGAGAGGAGCGATTTTGGTTTCCCTAGGGCAATGTTTCAAGTAGCGTTGCGGGGAAGGAGAGAGCATGGTTAACACGAGTACAGCTTTGATTTTCATGGGCAAAACAGGTTCAATGATTCCTCATGAACATAATCATTACAGTACATATGTTGCCCTCTATGTCTTTGAAAAGTTTTAGTGATACTTAAAAAAATAATATAAAAAAATAATAAAAAAATAAAAAAGAAGTAGAAGTAAAGAAACAAATATACCTCTAATTGTAATCAATCTCTGACCGGGATTTTCCTCCCCCCATCTAATCCCAGGATCACACACAAAGAGAGAAAGAGAAACTACCAGTCCCTACAGTCCCTCGCTGCTCGTTGGATTTTTTTTTTTTTTTTTCCCTACAGGTACGCATCCCGACAATCACCTTTTTCTCACTGGTAAAAGCAACAATAAATCCTCTGCCTTCACCGAGCAGCTTACGGCCGGTGAGCAAGGCGGCAGTGCCTAACAGCCGGGGCGGTCCCAGGGGGGCGATGCTCTCGGGGTCCCTACAACCAAGTGCCTCGGGAAGGATGGGACCTCGCCTCCCGTGGCTCCCACCACCCCAAAAAACGACCCCCCTCCCAACCCCGACTTGAGTTATCACCTCCCAACGCCGCGCTCCCGCCCAGCCAACCCCCCCTGGGCAGGGCGAGGATGAGGAGAAGCGAGGATGAAGGAGCAACAACCTCGAGGCTTCCGCTTGCTCCACGCAAGGAGGGACCCGTCTCTACGCGGGGCTGCTCCACGAACAACCCGCTGCAGGAGCCGCTGCCCGAAGAAACCTCCTCCTGCTCTGCTCCCCCCCTCAACCCCCCCCCGAGCCCCACCACTGTCCTCGGCCATCCCCAGCGCCGGCCACGTGCCGATCTGGCCACCTGAAGTCTTTGCTCTTTAATAAAATACAAAAGGGGGGAAGCTCAACAGGACGGGCCCCAAGAACCGGGGAACCTGAGCCGCGAAAAATAATTAAGCAGAGCTGATGGATCTCTACAGCAAATCTCTCAACCGAGCCGCTGCGCTCCAAAACCCCAAAGAACTAAAAAAAAACTCCAGAAGACAGATCGCCTAGAAAATAGCCCCGTCAATCCCGGGAAGGATTTCTGTATCGGGGCGGAAAAAACCAGTCTGGACTAATCGCTGACTCTGGCGACCTTCTAACGAACGTTGCGTCATCTCGCAGTGGAGGGGTTAAACACCGTGCTCTCGGGGATTATCCAACTGCTTGGGTTTTTAAGGCAACTTCTAAGCCCTAGCGCTCTTTATTTCACACCCAGCGCCGCATCAGGCATTTCCCACCGCTGAGGGAAACCCCCTAGACTTCCAACCGAGACCAGCAACCAACTGAGAAGAGCGAGGCAGAGGACCTGGGACTCTTCTACAGTTTTTCCCCGTCCTGCCAGGCTCCCGGACAGCTCCCCCTCCACCTTTCCGTTAGGAAAGGTAAGAGATCTTACTGACATCCCTTGAACCCTCTCTGCCACGTAAGCTTTGAGGACCAGCTCGTCAGCCCACCGGCTTTTCCCGGGGAGAGGACTCCTGACCCATCACCGCCGCGCCGGCCGCGCTCCCTTCCCTCGCTCCGCTGGGCCCACGCGACGTCCCGCGTGAAACGTGGAACCCACCACGGCTTTCTACTCCCACTTTCTCCTCCATTTTATCCCATCTGCCTGCTCATCCTCCCCCTCCCCCTTTTTTTTTTTTTTTTTTTTTTGGTGGTCCTTGTTCCCCTTTTCCGTAGATTTCAACTCCTGGCAAAGAGGAGACCCTCGGCCAGCAGCATCTCAAACCGCATCGCGTATCTAAAGCGACGGGGGCACCCATGATACGAATTTAGAGGTGGTAAAATCAAGTCCGAGGGCATAGTGGTCACTAACGAAATGAAAACCTGTGTGAGAAGAATGGATGAGAAATGGAAAGAACAGCAAGTAAAATACTGAGGCAGAGGAGGTCACTAATCAAAACATACCAAAGAGTGTAAGGGACCTTCATAATTGGGAGATGATGACGCTTGACCTCCATTTCTAGACCAAACAGCTGTGCCTGCTAATAGTAAAATTGGAATTACCATTAGAACTATGCAAACAAAAATGTCTTTCAAACTTTTTGGACAGTTTTGTAGACATGTAAATGCCGTATTCCAGATAGACTATAGAGCAGACATATGGAGAACTTCCAAAATACACACGGATGAAGGGGGGGGGGAAAAAAAAAAAAAAAAAAAAAAAAATGGAATTTCGTAGCAAAGCACGTAGATGCAGGCCACAAAGTTCCCCCCAGGCTGCTCCTCTGCATAGAGGGCTGCATTCATTCGGCAGCCGGAGCTGCGAGAGGCTCCGGGAGAAGGAAACGTCTCGGTGGTGGAAGGAGAAGCTGCAGTGCCAGCCCGGGCTCCGTTCTCCTAACCAGGCTCTGAGACATACTCGGTGCCCACCGGTGCCGGCGCCCCGCCATCCGATTTACAAAAGGGTTATCCAAAAAAAAAAAAATAATAATAATAAAAAAAAAAATGATGAAGTCAGGGTTAAAAAAAAAAAAAAAAAAAAAAAAAAAAAAAAAAAAAGCACCGCACACAACATTCGCGTAGACGTCGGGAAGGTTTGCGCGCTCTTTGGGCAGCTTAGTTGGTTTGGCCCCGGGGGAGACCACCGAAGGTCTGACCAAAAACCTTCTGGGTTTGTATCCTCTGCTCTAAATCTGTTCCTGCTGCTGCGGGAAGAAAAGTGCTCCTGGGATCCAGCAGCATTTTCTAAGGAAAAAACCTGCCCTTGTGAAAGAGGCAAACACGGGGGAAAAAGAAGATTTTGTTTGTTTGTTTGTTTGTTTTGTTTTGTTTTTTTTTTTTTTTTTTCAAGTATTTTTCCAACAGCTTTTATATATTTAGCACAACGCTTAGACAATTTACAATGTTCTTTTGAACGGGTGATCTTCGCAATGATCTCATAAAACGGGGTTAAGAATTTGAGATGGAAATATTAGGATTTTAATCTTAACGTCTACATTGAGTGGCATTTCCTCGAACCGAGATAGGCCAGGGTGGAACTCATGGCAATTTTTTTTAGGCTCTCACAGTGTAATTTTTTTTTTTCTCGTAAAAGTCAAAATTATGTCAGTTCTAATTAAAACTTAAATCTTCCCTTTTCTGGTCCCCGTGGAGCTTTTCGTGGAGGTTTTGCTACAGCACTGAACGGAGCAATGAGCAGCAATCTTTCCTTTCAAAATAATTTTTAACTAGCCCTTGATATCCTTGAGGGAAAGTGTCTTGCATGCTAAACACTTTCCGCTCTTATTTAAATGCACTTGTACTCCGTATTTTTATGTATTTTGACACTCGGTTCTCCCTAGTTACCCAGCCGAGCCTGCAGAAAGCAACGCAGCCCGAATTAGCACGGGGTTTTTTTTTCCTTTTCTCTTCGCCTCGGCCCCTCTTCCATCGGGAAGGAGGCCAGCACCTCGCTAGGAGAAACGCAGCCCAAGCGCCGGCGGTGCTACACCTCGGGCAAAGAAGGGCAAAAAAGTCCTTTTTGTGAGGTGTGGGACCCTCCCCCCCCCCCTCCAAGCTCTGACGGGCAGGGTGGTCCCTCTGTCCCCCCAAAGGGTGGCTTCGTGGGGGGGCTGGATCTCACCCCGCCGCTCCGAAATCCTTGGCGGGGGGCGATGGCTGGCGGGGGTGTCCTCCTGGACCTCGCCCTGCGGAGGCTGGTGGCTAGCGGCAAGCTTCCCTCTGCATCCCCCCCCCCCCCTTTCCTTCCCAAAAGGGGCTCGTCCCCGTGGAGCTGCCCCTAAGTCTGCGTCTCGGAGGCTGAGGGACCCTTCCAAAAGCTGAGGAGCCCGCGAGCGCCCTCCACCTCCCTCCCGCTGCTCGTGGAGAAGGAGGGGGGGTGGCTCAAACCTCTCGCCCTCCGGGAGGACGGCGGCCTCGGCCGCCTTTCGGGGCTCCCCGGGGAGCTCATCAGGATCCGGGGCTCAGAGAAGAAGAGACCCGGGGTTTTCGGTTGCTTGTGCCACGGACCTCATCTCAAAGAAGGGACGGAAAGCCAAGAGGCCTTCTCCAAGGCGTGGTTGGAGAAGCCTAAGGGTCGAGCTGAAAAGTCTCGAGGGGTTTAAGAAATATGCCGGGAAAACACCTGACGCTCATGAGAACTACCCTGGGCCTCTGGATCTCTGCAGCTTTTATTTGTAAAGGGGGGGGGGGGGGGCTTAGTTAAAATAGACAATTATTGTAAACTGAATCGACTGGCTTCACGGGGCGGGGAGGTGGTGGGGGGGGCGGGGGGGCTCTGTTTGTCCAGAGATGTATTTTATGGATCAAACAGGCGTTTGCTTCAGCCCCGGGAGGCGCAAGGAGATGTACCTGGCACGGCCACCCTGGAGCGGAGCTGCCGCGAGGGCGGAGAGGGGCCACGCTCTGCCCCAAGACCCCCAGGAGACTGCAGGAAGCTGCCAAAAGGCTTATAAAATCAGCGCCCCCCCCCCCCCCCCCCCCGCCCCCCCCCCCGCCGGCCCCCAGCCCCCTCCTCCCCACCCTGGCTTTTCTGGAAATGCATCCGGCCTGAGAGCTGCAACCACCTTCTCTCTGCACTGGCAATCCAGCGTGTAGGACCCCTCTCTGCTCATCTCTGCGGGGCCACCAGCCTCCCGCGCAGCCAGCACGGGAACCGCCGGGCGCTGCCGCCTGGATGCGCATCTCACACCCAGTACCGCAGGAAAATACGTTGAAATCCTACCAAAAATACGGTGAAACGTTCAGTAAAATAGAATTGTAACAACAATACCTGAGAGAGAAGGGGGAGAACCAACAGGAGTTGAAGGATTTGATGAAAAGCTGTTGTTGGTGTGATCTGGAGAATAGATCTTTAAAAGATGATACAGAATTAATCTAAAGCCATCACAAACTGATGCAGAAAGAAATATGGAATTCTTATGCATTCAGTTCATTTAAATGAAAGCAGGACAGGTTAAAAAAAGCCCCTTATTCAAATATTAATATTTTTATAAAGGCAAAACGGTAGTAGGTGCAGGAAGCTAGACAACAGACCCCTTTTGCCGGGGACAGGCGCTAGCCAATTAAGTTTCTGATTGTCACAGGGACCTGCTACGGCAGTAGATAATTCCCATTTTCAACGCATCGACTACTCTACGGATGAGCGTCATTGAACGAGGCCTGAAAAACCTGCTTTTTTTTCGTGACGCTGAAATCCCTTACCGGCCAAAAGAAAGCAAAGGGAGCGGAGCACGTCAAACCCTGGCACAGCGGGGAAGAGGCAGCAGGGACCTCCCGACTGCTCGTCCGCTGCTCCAGCCAGAAAAGCCCCCGCGTGCCCCGTGCCCGGGCGAGGGTGCCACCTCCCCGCGGTGTGTCCCCCCCCCCTCCCCACGCCCCCCGCCGCCCGTGCCGTTTGTCAGGGCACCACTTCAAAGTGGATTCTGTACTGTATCAGTTCGGTTCAGGCAAACCGGAGTCTGACTTTTCGTCTTTTTCAATGAGGCATCGAAGAGTATGCGAGACACAGAAGGGAAAAAAAAAAAAAAAAAAAAAAAAAAAAAAAAAAATATGAACTTCTCATGAGAACTCAATGGAACCCACTCTGCCCAGAAAATAACTAATCGTGGTCCTTATTAAAAGTCAGCGGTCGCTGGGGCGCGGCAGGGTTTCAGCCCACTTCGAGTTGGAAAGCTGCCGTGCCCCAGCTACCCAGGCGCTGACTTTAACAGCAACCACGGGAACTGAATAGGTGGAAACTGCCATGAAAAACAGAAAATCTACAGGCGAATTCAAAAGGAGCCCCGGTGGCCGATGGCTCGGGAGCGCCGAAAGTCATCGGGCCGCTGGGTTCTGTTCAGACCTCCCTCGCCCTAGGAAATGCTGGGGGGGGGGGGGGGGCTGGACTGACAGCCACGGCTCCTCGGCACCCAGTCGGCGTGACCCAGGCGCCGAGGCTTCCCCTCTTGCCGCTTCGATTCGACCCATAAAATTCCACCTCCAGCTTTTTCAACACCATTTTGCACTGATTGTTCAAGATTTCGGCTGGCAGTAACTCCACGCGGGTGACCTCTGAGACCAGATCTCTCCCGTTTGCGGTTCGTCTTCGTAAACTCCAGGCGTCCAATTCTGATTAAAGTTCACACTTTGAAAACGGTAAACGTGTATTCCAAAGTAAATATTTCCTTACAGAGGCAAGTGCTTTCCCCAGCGCATCACCAGTCTGCGAGCTGCCTGCCGCCCCACTTCCTCTGTTTGCTGAAAAACAAAAGACTTGATGTAAAAATCAGACAGTAAGACATCACGGACTTCTATTCCTGGTCCACTTACTCGTAACCTAACTGCGTTTTAACGTTAATTACATAAAATTAATCTTTAATTACCATTAATTTGTTTGCTGAGGTAGGTATCAAACACGTTCACGCCCCGTTTTTGCAGGTAAAATAGGAACTTGACACGCTGCTTTGTTAAAAAACACACGGCCTATTGGGTGGCACTTGCCCCGTATCGCTTTGCTTTTTCTGGACTTCCAATAGTAGAGGATGCTCAAAGGTGGGGAAAATACGCGAGCGGGTAGCTAGGCAAGTTGGGGAAGGGCTCCTGCCTCCCCTGCCCCATCCCAGGGCGCCTAGTTTGTGCAAATCTACTCTAATGAGGTTTTGTTTTGTTGGGTTTTTTTTTTTTTTTTTTTTTTTTTTCCCCTTCAAAAACTCTACGGCACTTCTATAGAAGGGCAATGTTTCCCATAGCAAACACCAAAAATTACCACGGAGGAATCTTCTAAAAGCTCAGCCTGCCCGAGCAGCCCAGTTTCTCTCTCTCACTGGGACCAGTCATTAATCCCGGGCTCCTGCCGCAGCCCTCGCCTCCCCCGCTGCGAGGGAAGGACAAAGTGCCATTAATAAGCGGCAACCCGGTATTTTGTTGTCCCCTCATTCACTCGGTGACCTTGATCCTTTGTCTACTTTTCAATGCAGGTTTGAAAGGCGCTAGGAAATCCCATATGGACTTTTCCAAAGTGTTCCTTCTGACTTTGGTAGGAACACTGCACCGGCACTGAACGAAATGATTTTTCACCATCTCTCCGGTGACGGGATTGCACCTTTTACGTAAGAAATTCAGAGCAAGAACCTGGTGCAGCAGGTTCTCACGCTCAGGTGACAGGGTTGAAAACTCCGTTACAGGTAAAACTAAAAGGAAGAAAAAAATCAGGGCGGAACACCCCGCCACTTTCAACATCTCTGTGTCCATTACAAACGAAACGCGCGGCTTCGGCTGACTGCTGCCCGTGATGAAGATTTCTGCTTTCATCTCTGACGACCCGAAGGCAGGTGGCCAGAAAAGGAATAAAAAAAAAAAACCCACCAAGCAGCGAAAAGCTGGATCGGGGTCTGGAATGTGAGGGCTGAGGCAGAGAGGCTGTATGCAGCGGGGTTTAAAGGGCTTCGGTCCCTTCCAAAGCCCCCCTGCCCCCCGGCAGGCTCTGCACCACGAGGCCGCGGGATCCTGGGCCCGGAGGATTTCAGGAGCAAAGCCAGGTCGCTAGGAGCGAGTGCAAGCACGGGCACTTTTTTCGCTCGTTAAAAAGCAACTATCAAACAGCCTCCTCCGAGCCTCACCCCAGCGTTACTCAGCGAAACATCCCGGGCACGGGAAGGAGCAGGGTTGGGATCCGTTTGACTGTGGCCGCCGGTGTAACTACAGCCCCTCCCAGCTGAACGCACCCGGGCCAGCGCTCGAAGCTCAAAGCCCCAAACCCAGAGCGACCTTTCCGCTCCACCTCCTCCCGCCTTCCCTCCCCGAAAGCACTGAACTCGGCCCCCGTTTCGCTTTGCCAAGGCTCCGTCCCTTCCGTTTAACCTGACCGCGTAAGCTCACTGTTTCAGCCCCTCGCCCCGCCGCGCCCTCCTCAAGGTCTGCGCGGGGCCCTGACGCCGTGAAGGCAAATTCGTGCGGCGCCGTTTGCAAGGCCAGCTTTGCTGATTCCTTCCCTCCCCCCCCCCCCCGCCCCTACTCCTCCTCCTTTTCTTAGTTAAACTTTTTCCTTTTATTATTGCGCATTTGAAAATGTGCTCATCTGCCAATGACAGCTTATTTGTGATCTCGGCTTCAGTTTGAAACGCGGCATCAAGATGTATAAAGAAAGATATATAAAGAAATGTGAAGACAGATAGAACAGGCGGTGTCAGCTCGAGATACAACTTATCAGGGTAACTTAATGTTGTAAATCACAATCTAAAGGTTTGTGACTTGAATAATACCAGGCAGATGTCCAGAAATTCAGTTAGTTTGCTCTAAAGTGAACTGTGAATCGAAATGTAAATCACGCGTTGTTTTTTCCCTTTTTCTAAGTGGCTCTAACTGCATTACTCGAAAATTAAGTCCTGCATTTGTCTGTCTGAAGGCTGGTTCTCTCTTAATGACATGAGCTACGCTGGTCCTGCGGGAGAAGCAAACGCCGGGACCGCAGTCTTGCTCCATGTGCTCCCAGAAACCTGACGGCGCCGAGCTGGCCCACGTCTTCTATTAGTTACCGCTAAGAACAAAGGAATTCTTCAGATATACTGAATATTAAAACTTTTCCTGAAAGACTTTGAAGACAAATTAATGCGGCAGGCCTGGAAAACATACAGGGAGAGCCTCAGGGATGGGCAGCAGTGTGCGAAGTTCCCTTCTGCAGAGGGGAGGGAGCTTCACTGGGAAAGGGATGCTTGAAAAGTAGAAGGCAAGCTGGCGTCCTTAGTTGTTGCTCTCTTTGGATGAAAACCGAAAGCCACCCATTAAAACAAAGCCAAACAGTAAAAAAAACCAACCCCCAAACGCTTCTTTTTTTTTTCCAGTAGTGTCCAGTCAGATAGGGAAACGGATTGCTTGAAGGTATGCAAAGCCCAACCATGCGAAGAGATTTAAAAAGAAGTGGACAAAGCGCTGGAGAAGAACGGCCATCGGCGGCTACTGAACGCCAGCCCCAGGCTCGGGGCGGCCGCGAAACCCCGCGGGAAGGCGGAGGAGGGAGGAGAGGACGCACGGACGCTTTGGGGCTGAAGCTCCTTCCCAGCTGCTCGCCTTGGGTTTGGGTTCTTGGGGACAGTGGGGCAAAACGGGCAAAGGAAGGCAACTTACGGCATCTTCTGCTTGGAAGACTGAGCCAAAACGAAGCAGAGAGAGATCTTCTGAAAGCGTGCGCGTCCCCAGAACAGCCGGGGTTGCTTAAATACAGCGAACCCCTCGAATCTCAGTTTTTCTTTCTTCCATCACGAACCATTTTACATGCGAACCATTAATTGCTTTAGCTATCAGCTCGGTGACGTAAGGGAGACGCCTGAAACCTGCCGGTGACTCAAGAAAATGTATTTGAAGGAAGAACAGAAAAAAGAGTCGTAAAAAGAAACGCAGCAAGGAGCGTCTGCTGAAGCGAGCCCGAAGATTTGGGGAGCAATGTGACAAAACTGGGACGGGGCACTACAGAAATAAGAACAAGACCTCAAACGTGGGAAAAGGTAACGTGGGGTATCGCTCTAAAGGTAATATAATCAACTGTTGCCATTAATTTTTCTATTAATATCGCAGAGTTGTTGGTCCATCCGTTTCCCAGTGGCTTCAGGGAAATATCAGTTAAATACAGCCGCTGACACCCCGAAAGCTGAGCAGGGACAGGCTTAGGTGGGACAGGCTTTCACCACATCTAACAAGTGCGCCTCCACTTCAGCTTCTGGAAGAAAACCGTAAGATGGAGGATCTTAGGCAAATTTTTAATGCAAGGTACACATCAGAGCAAAAAAATACTCTGAAAGCGCAATTTTTAATGGCTTAACAGGCGAAGCTTTTTCAGGCCCGTCAGAAATAAGGACAACGATGGAGAGTTGGTAGGACCTGCAAACAACCAAGATGCTACAGAAGAACTCAAGGCAAAAACAGGGTGATAGAAGAAATGCTACAACAGATTTTTTTCATCTGCCTTGTCACGGGAGAGATGATATTTTACAAGGGATTAGTCAGAAAAATTGGCTCCGACTGAAGTGTCAGTGTAAAGGCTTCAAAATAAATCAATAAAAATAAAAATAAAGAGGAGCCAAAGGATGTTTCTAAGAGCGCTCGAGAAACTCAAACACAAAACTGTCTAACTTCTAACTGCAGTGTAAAACTGACTGCTCAAACCAACCTCGTGCTGAAGTAAAGAGGCAGAAAATATTAAAACCTGAAAACAAAGTTCTGTGAATTCAAAGAGCCACCAGATTTTAAATCTGAATCCTCCACTAGGAAAGATAACAAAGAGCAATATACGTACGGACAAATGCACCATTATCGCACAACCAAGTCGTGTTTTGCCACTCTAAATTCTCTCAAGGACACGATGAGCACACCGATGCAGGAGATCCAGTAAATGCAAAGGATCTGTACTCTCAGCTTTCACCAAAGCCACCTCCCCAAGGCTCTTAAAGAAACTAAACTGTCTTCAGATTAGCAGGAAAGCGAGGAGATTCTTGCCGATTAAGAAATTATTAAGAGGGAGACAACGAGAGGAGGAATTCATAGCTTTATTTTTACGAGAGGAGTTATCACCAGGAAATTCCCAGTTGTGCAGGTCTGTACCCTTCAACGTACTCATACGCGGCCCGGAAAAAGACGCGGCGCACGCCGAGGTTGTGATGTTTGGCAAGATGCTGATTCCGGATGCTAAAATATGATGCTAGGTGTAAAGAGCAGCTCTTGTAACACCAACTTGCCAGGCAAGACGTGCCATACCCACACAAAAACCACCGGGCAACAAACACGGGGGGTGGGGGGGAAAGCCTTATGGCATAAATACACACCAGCGGGCTCTCGGTTACTTAATAAGCAGTCCAGAAAGAGGAGAGGACATAGAGCTACAGTGAGGAATTCGCTGCCAGCTCGAGCTGATGAACCAGCCCCTCACTGTCCCCCCCCCTAGAAAACCCCAACAAGGAGCAAGGACCGGGCAAAGAGCAGAGACAACCCAGAAGCCCGTTCTGTCCCTCTACGAATTCACACCACCCCCATATGTTGGAGCAAAGATCTGGCAAGTCCATCAAGAAAGAGCATCACGGTCTACAGAACAGAAGAAGCAAAGACAGAAAAAGCCAAGAGTGGTTCCCTTAGAGGACGAGCTCAATAAATGTGGATTCTCCAGCTTGGAAAAGGGACCGTGACAGCTGGGTGTGACCCAGGCCACGTAAACTCTTAATAACAGGGTGGAAAGGCAAGGTGAGGAGGGAGGACCACAGTGCATCTTGTGGGAGCAGGATCAAAATGAAAGAGGAGCAGCATTTCACAAATGTGAACGTCACTGTGCCGGGCCAAACCTCCAGGAAAAGCTGGGTCACTTCATGGAGAAGAATGAACTCGAGCTCCCTAAATACTCAGGAAAATCCTTGGGAGTTTTTGTTGGAGACAGGACCGTTGCGTAGATGGGCTTTTGCTCTGAACAAGGACAGATGTTTTCCAAGTTCTTAAGCAAAACACAGAACAACTGAAATGCAAGGAATGGCCCCGAAACTGGAAGGGCTCAATTTATCCAAGCCATTTCTGTACTGGGCTTTAATTGAAGGAGGTAGCCAAATCCAGACTTCAAGAAAGGCTTCAATTAATTCATCGCTGAGGCACAGAAGTTTGAGGTGAGAGCAAGGGAACGCTCAATGAAACTTCCAGGAGGGCAGGAGCTGCAGAGGTGGCCAGGCTCACAAATTGTGGCTGGATGTTGAGCTAGATGACCAGTGTGAAGCGGCAAGCCGTTCGCACCTCCTCATCCTCGTCTGTATTTCCTCAAACTGGTCTAAACGGCCGCGTTACTCGAGACTACGAGGAGGCACGCGTGAGCCTGAACGCTGGCTTCCCCCCTTGAGAAGGCAGGTCTCTGCTGCCACGAAGCATCAGCAAATTCTGGCACGAGGCAGAAGACACGGGTAACTCGGGAACAGGATCGTGAGCCAGGACTTGAAAAGGCACCGCCAAAGCCGTCGCTTTTACTTGTGAGCTAGTCCCCCCGCTCACGAGACTATTAATGTACTGAAGGCATCGTGAAAGACTTGCCACCTTTTGATGGATTGATTCGAACTCCGCTGAAGCGCGTGTTTATTGTTACAGTTATTCTCCTAAAACTTTCTCAGCATGTTTCTGCGAAGAACAATTCCGCGCTGGAAAGCAGAGGGACAGAATGATGAAGCACAGCCTCTTCACATCCTTCTGGTGGGGTCCCGATTGTAAATCTCAGATTATTGAATAAACTTCCAGGAATCGGCATCGCAGCGAGTATAATTCTATCTAGCAAAGCATCTAGTGTAACCGATATGGTGGAGCCTTCTATTAGGGAACTGCAGCCAGACTTTTTATCGCTTAAATTCTAGCACAAACTCACGCTGTTCTGATGGAGCGGCGCTTTCTGAAACAGCAGCCTGGAAATTACGTTTCTATGTTAAGAAGAGTGGAAAAACTTGCAGCGTCTCAGTATTCACAGCTGATCATCTTCCCAAATTATGAGGAAGTGACATCGGTGGGTGAAAGTCATATTCTTCTTATACTGCGCGACAGTTCACCACCCTCCTGTAACTGGAAGCTTAACATTCTTGTAAAATATACAGTGCAGTATTATGTGACTGCTCTGGTAATAAAATTACTGTGAAACCAGTGCCTCAAGGGGAAATGCACATAATGTTTCTCCTGGAAAAGCTGCATGTCACAGTGCATAATGTCATACAAACAACATGTCATCAGAAGTGAAAGCAGCAAGTGGGATTAATCCACGCATCAGATGGATACGATCGACCCGTACGGCGGATGCGAGAGGCACTTTCTCTCACTAACGGGTTGCTTAAACACCACACCGCTTCAGACCTTTGCAAACAAAAAAAACCCAACGTTTCAGCTTAAAATTAAGCGCTGCCCGTGCTGTCCGACAGGCCCGCGGAAGGATTCGCTCCCCGCACGGCCGTCGGGGCTCATCTGCGTGCTGCCCGGTCGTCGGGACTGGGATGGAAGCCCGTGGGAAGCACGATGGAAGCCGTAAGAGGCTTCCTCGGGGGAAAAGCCAAGAGAAGCCTGCGTGGGCTCAGACTTCGGGGAAGGCTCACTGGTTTGGGAGGAGAGCAGGACTCGCGCCGAGACCCGAGAAAGACTTTCGCAGCCCTCCGTTCAGACACGGCCCAACGGTACTCCTCGCTGAGTATTTACAGCTGCGAAAAAAAATAAAAATTAAAAAAATTCCGCACGGTTGTATTGTTGCTCTTCTGAGTCATCCGCTGGGTTTTTCAGAGGAATCTAGATGACAATCTGGATGCATTTTTGACACGGGAGACGTAGGCGCTTTTCGGGGCGGTCCCCAGCGGCACAGGAGGCTGCGGTTTACGTCCCTCTGCAAGATTGTGCGTCCCTAAACGGTACCTGCAAGGCTGCTGCACAGCTGCTGAATTAAACGGGGCTCTCTTAGACTTTGAGGGCGACAGAGAGAGCAATTTTCCTATGTCACACGCCCAGAAGCAGCACTGTGTTGTAAAGGAAGAACTCTCAACGGAATGGCGAGGTTGAGGACAGAAATGCTAGCCTGAAACGGGATACGTTTTTCTCAGACAGTGACAAATTAAGAAAAGACTGTATTTAGTTTCTTCTTTGTTCAGAGGCCTTGAAAAATATGATGCCCATGTGTTAATGTTTGAACCCACCCTCCATTCTTCCTGCATTAGTCCTGCTCACAGTCATTCAATACAGAATCATGTGTGTAATCCGAAACATGTGTCCAGCGATGTGTTCCCTATTTACCAATTATTTAATTAGCTTTATTTGCTCTTTGAGATACAGGCAAAGCAATATTTTTTGACTTCCTCTATTTAAGTAGGAACCGGGATTTGCCAGATATTTAAGCGTACAGGGGGGGGGATGCTCTGAATTTTCAGAGTCACTCCCGGCAACGTCCCCCCCCCTCGCAGGGACACGCCGCCACCGCCGCTGCCCCCACGCCACGTGGAAATCCAGCGCCGAGCTCGAAGGGGATGAACGTCGTGACACCGAAGCCTCACCTCACCCGGCGCTGCAGGCGATTAAATCCCTAACGACGGTAAAATCGAACCTTCAAAACCAGCGGGGCCAGGCACTTAGCTGCTGCCGTGCCTTCCACGCGCGCTCTGAAGCCAAAGGGCTTTGCTGTCATTGGGTTTAAATCACAAAAAGAAGGAGTTGTGATAAAATGCATGGGGGAAAGGAGGTGAAGGTCAACTACGATGCACCGATTTCCAGAAAATTCTTGCCCTCTCTCTGCACCTACCGAACTAAGCAGCTAATCCTTCCTCATCTTGGGATAGGCCATCAAATTTCAGGACTTTGGTGCACCGAAGCAGGGGAGGGCAAGGGGGAGAGCCCCGGGCGGTAGCCGCGGCGCCCGACCTCAACTCACCCATGATACTGTCCGTCCCGTTGGCAGGGGGTGTGCAAGAGGACGCGCTGTAATGATTCGTGCCACTGCGGTGGAAGGTGGACATCGGAGGAAGACTGGAATTGATGTCTGCTGAGGAGTGTGATGGGTAGCTCTGTGGCAAAACGGATTCAAAAAAAAAAAAGAAAAAAAAAAAATTGGAAAAAGAAATCATTTCGGTATCGAGATCACGGAAGGCAGCTGGCTGATCATATTGGGCCGGTCCCAAGTGCTGTCATACTTCACCCAACTGAGAAAAGCAGAATGTTACCCCAAGACTAAGCAGGGAGTGTATTTTTCTACCCTAACTTGACATCTTCTGGAGGAGACACAGCATAAACCTCTCTGATATGGCTAAATAGCCACGGTGGACATTCCGCAACTGATGGTGGCACCACAGAGATGTAATAAGAAGAAATTAAGAAAGAAAAGTCAGGCGAGGTATCAAGCAAACCTTTTTGACAGGGACAGCTATTGGCTGGAGGAGAAGCCTTCCAAAAAAAGCGGTAGGAACCCCCCAGACTCCTTTTGCCATTCAAGCCGAGATCTGACTCCAAGACCTCCAAGATCGAAGCCAAGATCTGACTACAACACGGCTGGTGTTACAAAACCCACTTTAAGGACACACACACCGGCACGCCGGGTAATCAACCGGATCCCTTTTCCCTCACACTGCAGCGCCTCTGCGTGACAGATGATCAAGTTCTCCAAAAAAGCTTGGGACAAACGTCCGGGCAGCCAGGAGAAGACTTCGGTCGCTACAGGGCCGCATCAACCAAACCTTCCTTTCTGTGACACGACACGGCTGCGGTCAAATGTTTTGCTGAATTCCAGTTCCAATAAACCTGGCTTCCATGAGGGCTCTTCGTCGCTGTCGAATAGTCTTTTCTTCATCGGTGGAAGAGCCCGGGTGCAGCCAGGTCCTGGAACACGCACCACTGCCCCCAGCTCCTCCTCGAGGTTTTGGAGACTCCGCTACAAAGCCTCCTGAGAAACATGGGTAGCTGGAGACGCAGGGCAGTACCTGGCCCAAGATCAAGGCATTAAGCGTTGATCATCTCCGTGCCCTCTGCCTCCTGAGGTCATTCAGAGTGAGCTGGCTGAAAAACCTCCTTCCCTTCCTTTGTACTATTTAATCACTTTTACAGGATTTCTTGTAATGAAGTGCCAAGTAACTGAATACTGTAAAGTTATCTCCAAGAATGTAAACAACATAGCCCCAAACTATTTTTCTTATCCATGGAAAAACTACCATCAACTCGGACTGAGGTCTGAATAATGTTTTTAGGCTTTGACTCATTATAAGCCACTCCAGGACTTCAGCCCCAAACCAGCACAGAATTGCTCGTCTGACGGAGAAACGAGCAGATTGCTGAGGTCAAGGTCTGAATGTCAGTGACTGCATCTCCCCTGGCTGGTCCATGACACGTAGAGAAGCGCTGGGCTGGGATTTTCTCATTTCTCAGGGGGGAGACATCCAACCACGACTGCCAAAGGTTTTAGGAAAACCATGGGATCTGAACTGAGCTCTCTGCATTCAATGCATCTACTTAGAAAATCACCGATATGCCTGAGAAAATAAAAATAATAAACAACAGCTTTTCTTCCTTTTGCTATATTCATTTTCCCTACAGGGCACGGAGAAGTTAAGGGCGTTTGCAGGGAACCGAACTGAAATCGCTCAAACTTTCCTCGACAAGCTGACCACAAACTGCTCATCTCTCACTGATGCTCCAGCAGAAATTATGCGGAGAGTATTTAAAGTATCACTGCCTCCCTTCTGTCCCTGTGTTGCCTAAAATACAGAAAGCTCTGCCAGTCCAGATACACATAATAAATGATTAATATGAGCATCGTCAGCACTGAGCACCTGTAACTTGGACTGGTAGCAGTGGTCCTCACTGTCTCTGGAATTTAGGAGAAATGTAATTATAGCTACGGAGAAAAAACATTTTGAGGAGTTTAGGTGGGACATCCCCACCCATCTTGACATCGTAGAAATATTTGAGCTCTTCATAAAAACCCCTACACGTTACAAACCCAAGAAAGGCAGAATCGAGGTAAAGTTAAATGCAAACATGCTTGAGGACTTGCCCCATGAAGGCGCCTCTCTTCTGAGCTGATACCATGAAAAGCCACCTAACTCTGACGAATGACTACCAGTGTAAGTTATGCTCCATTTTTATTATACGTGCTTGTCACTTCAGAGCCACGTTAAGTTTACTTAGTGCCTTAATTCTGCATTTTATAAGGACATGATTAAGCAGTTTTTGAGGCAATTTCTTTTGCTTTTGACTTCCTATTAATTTTACACAGCAGCGTGCTAACCTCGTTAAATGTGAGACTTTAAAGATTTGTTTCGCAAATTACTCTTCGGTTTGCAAGAGTGAGTTTTAATTCTTCTTATTCCCCAAAAGATGGTCCTGCAAGACTTTACAGCAACAGGCTCTTTCCTGCCTTAAAACCACTACTCTTAATTACTCTTCCTTTATAATGGTCCTCGAGAATGAAAAGTATAGGCACAGAACAGAAAAACATTACTTGCAGTGTGTTTCACACTTTTTGAGAAAAATTACTTCGCTTTAGCTGTCCGTTCAATTTCTTTACATCTTAGTTCCAAACAAAACCAAACCAAAAAACGGAATTGATGGAACCCAGTGTTATTTCTACATAATCAATTCAGCTGTGATAGGAGGAGAATATACCCTAAGCTGTACTCAGATCCGATTTAATTCCAATTTTATTCTGTTCTAATACAATAGATGGAATCGGTCCCGGCAACTTCCTCCTGCTAAGGATCAGGATGTACTGGTGAAAAGAGGAAAACCTCCCTTTTTTTAAAGCACAAAATCGATCCTAGGTAGTTATCTAGAAACTCTGACCAGCAATGGGCACCGACTGCCAGAAACGATCAGCACCGAAAAGCACCGGTGGGCGCTGGAGGCCCCAAGCCGAGCAGAGGGCACGAACATGGGCCCAAATCCTTCTTGTTTGGTTGGTTGTTTTTTTTTTTTTTTTTTTTTTTTTTCTTTCCCTTTTCCCCTTCTTTTCACTGCCCGAGGAGAGGTTCTGTGCGGAGGCGGTGACCTCCAGCCGGACAGGTACCGCTCAGGGGGGGTGAAGCTGCGGCAGGACTCCAGCCTCCCGGCGCCACGGGCTTCCCCTGAATAAAATCCTTTGGGCAACGTTTTTCTGAGAGGTTTCAAGCCGGGTTTGGGCAACGCACTGCAGAGAACGTTGGACTGGCAACCACTCAAGGCCGTGGATGCGACGTGTGTGTGTGTGTGTCCCCCAAAAAACCCGCCGTGCCCCCTCCCCTGCGCCTTACCAAGCGATCGTGCGGGTGCAGGCTGCAGTAGCTGCTGGACTGGGGGATGTGAGAAGAGTTGCCCAGCATGCCCCCGTAGCCAGGCTGGTTCATCCCGCTGGAGGAGCTCCACGGGTCGCTGCTGTGATGGCCATCTGTAACGAGAGGAGGGAACCGCCGTCGGTGCCGGAGCCCGCAGGACCGAGGGCCCAACCACCCCGGTTCCCGGGGTTCTTGCAGCCAGGGCCTAAAACCCTGTTACTTTAATAAAACTGAAGCTGAACTGAGCAACGGTGACCACTCGTGTCACCCTGCGATGCTTCATTACGGTCGCATCACCTGGAAGTTTCCTGCTGCTTCACTCCCGCTCTGGTATCACAAACTCAAGTACGTCAACTCCTTTACAACAAATTTCATCAGAGACAAAAGTCTGAACATTGAAGCGACACCCACTGAAGCCCACAGAACGAGGACGGGCTCTAGGGAAGCCTCAACCTGCTAAATGATTAGATAATTCCTGCATTCTTAACGTCTCCACATCCAGAAAGTTCTCCAAGTTGCTTTGTTGTTGCTTTTATTTTGCTTGTTTAAAAAGAGAGCAGCACCACTCACACGGTTTCTCCTTTCAGGGATTTCACAGCTTGTGTCCCGGTACCTCCTAAGCACAGAATTCATCCTTCAGGCCAGCTCACTGCTGAGGTGCAACGTGCACTGAAGGCTATAAAAAGGGCTCCCCAAATTTTACCAAGTGAAACAGTTGGTTGCAGATTTTGCATTTAACCAGACATGCTGAAATAGAATCATCATAATGCAGTGAAATGGATTTTCTCCTGGAAGAATGCCAACGTGCTAACAAAAAAAAAAAAAGAAGAAAAAACCCCAAAAAGTAACTCTGCTGTAATGATCAGCAGACCTGAAAGACAGGCACGTGGGCTGGAGAAGTTGTCGGCTTCTTCAAACTACAGGAGTTGGCCTAATAAAAAACGGTGATGTCTCACTTACAGCCCTGCCTTGTTTATACACTTCAGACACCCTGGCAGCAGCAGCGCTTCTAGCATCACCTTCCCATGGCTGTCTGAACAGTCATTTAACTCCGATTTACGTCTTCGATACGAATCTGCGAGAAGGTAACGGCCAAGCGCTACAAAGGGTAAATACCTGATAGCACTAGAAGCCTACGAATCCTCAGCTTTGTAAGTCCGTAGGAGTTTTGCAGCAGGTTGCTCTTGGGGTGGTATTTATTTGTATTTTAAGCCTCCGGAAAGGCTCCGGGGGCAGGTCCCCCACCCCAGGAGGTGACCAGCAGGGCCAGTGCTTTGACCACTGGTCTCTTCCCTCCCACCAGGACTCTCTGGAGCTGGGGGGGGGGGGGGACACACACCAGCAGGACCCAGGGCAGGAGGGTCCAGCCAGCTCATCCTCCTCGTCAATACTTTAGCCAGGTAGTCCTGCTGAATTAAACCGATTTACTTCCCCTTTCCTTAGCCTAAAGCAGAGCATATGTGCAAGTGTTTAAAAGCGAATCATTTTGCCCTGAACGGGGCAAAAAGATGCGTATACCCTAATGGTGCGCGGATCTTTCCAAACTCTAGGAATTTTCTTTAGTAAGTTACACCAAATTTCAATGCCCTCGCAGGTAATGGTTGCGAGAAATGCAACAAGGTAGCAGTGAATACATGACAACTGTTAACCCATCCTCAAGCGAGAGAAACGGCTTCATTTTAAAAAGGCTGCTCTAATTGCGTAGGCACGCAAACAGACCCACTTGTAGCACTGTACACTTCACATCAGGCAAAATCTTTCTCGTTAACATAAACCACCAATCCACAAAGCACTTGCACGAATTTGTGTGCGTTTAGTAGACACACAATACACAGACACGCGCACACACACGCTGGAAAAAAAAAGGGCTTCAAGAACCTCAGATGGTAAGAAGCTGGCGAGTTATTCATTACGCTGCTTCACTGCAGGATCAAAACAAGATGTTCAGAGGCATAATGGTCAAACGAAGACGTAGAGGATTTCATTTTAATGGTAATGCCACAGACCACGAGATGATAGTCCAGCGTGTCTCGACTACATATAAACTAAAATACAAACCCAGGAAATGTATGCAAACTAGATTGCCTTTTGAAAGCAGCGCCTTACCTTGCATGAAGAAGGAGCTAGGAAAAGTGCTGGCTGCTGGTTTTGAGGATGGATAACCTGGTGAATCCCTATTGTAGTCGGCAGTGCTTGCTGACGGGGCATAAACCTAAGGGAAAAAAGACTAATTTAGTATGCCTTTAGCAGGAAGCAGGAAAGAAATATTGAGTTTTTACCTTGCTCGGTATAAATCTGTTCACAACACCACATAATTCTTCTCTCACAACACAAAAACCTCAGTATATGTGTGACTGGAAAATAAATTTTAAGCTTCAAAAGAAACTCCAGCCTGACATTTCCCAGCTTTAAACAAGGATATTTGCAAGGTATTTGTCAAACTATGCATTTCTGTAAATAAAATGAACAAACAGATGTACATATGTTCTTCCTAGAGCATTACAGAGCTTAAAATAAACAAGAACTTGAAACAATGCTGATTTTCTCAGATGAATGCCTACGGACTTTACCCACTTAAGAACAAAACTGAAAGCACTGCAAAGAAGTCAAAAACTTTATTTCCCAAACTAAAAAAAAAAAAAAAAAAAAAAGAAATTTAGAAAACCAGCATTACGAAGAACCCTGAAAATTACAAACATATCTTGTGATATTAAATTCCCATGGATCACGCTCTTTCCAGAGAAGCTTGAAAGGACTATTAAAAACCTGGATCTACACAAGACCACCAACACAGCATGTGTACGCATCGGGGGGAAAAAACTCCTCCTTTCTTAGGACTTATTATATTTGTCTGTGCAATAAACTTAGTGTGTGTGCCAAAACACTCATTTACTTATATTTGTTTACTAATACACCAGAGCTTTCTGCAACTTGCCTTTCAGAAAATATCTGTTGTATTTCTTGCTGTAGTTTAGTTCAACCAGGGAAGCATTTAAAAACAAAACAAACAACCCCCTTCCCCCCCCCCAAATCTCCCCCAAACCAGTCCAGGGTGATCAGCGGAATTTATTATTTACAGCGCAGTTTATTCCCTCTGCCTCTGTGCTTGCTCTGTTCCGCCGCGCTTTGTTTCTGCGCTGGAGGTGCCTCTCTCCAGATGGTCAGGAAGACTGAAGCACTGTCATCTCCTTGATGAAAATGGATACCTTCCTGCCTCCATTTTGAAGCAGGCAGCAGATCACAAAATTGGCAGAGCGCCTGCTCCGGCGTTCGCAGGTCACAGCGAACGGGAAGAAAAAAAATCCACCAGCGCAACCCGGCCGCCGGCGGGGCTGGGAAAAACACCCCGGCCCTCCTCCGTCAGCGTCCCCCGGCCAGGGCAGGGCGAGCAAAGGGCTTTTCTCATCACAAAAACCCCCCAAAACCCGCCAGCCGAACCCCAAAATCCGGAAGGCCGAGGGGCTGCGGGGTGCTGAGTATCTTCCCCAGGGCGGCACAGCAGCTCTTCTGGCTTCGTAAAGCTCCGCGTCACCCACCCAGGCAGGGCCACCGGTGGCTGGGACAAGCCCAACACGAGAAATCGAAGCAAAAACCTTGAGCCCCAGGGAAATTCTGGAGACTGTTTGGACGGGTCAAACGCGAGGCGAGGGCGGCTCTGCGCCCGAGGGCCCGCGCCGCCATCCCTGCCGACCGCCATGACAGGGCGAGCGTAGGAGGGAAGTTTTCCTCCTCCTCTCTCCGCATTTATTAAAGGTGCAAAGGTTTAGCCAAATCCAGGCGCCTGCCTGCAGCGAGGGATTGGGTAGGGGTGTGTGTGTGTGTGTGTGTGTCCCAGGATCGGTCCCCGGCACCCATGGGTGAGGGCAGGCACAAACTGCGACAGCCCAAAGCGTCACCCTCCAACAGTGGCACCTCCAGCGCCGCTGTTTTCAGACCAGCCCTCCCTTTGGGGTGTGGAGTTGGGGTGGGCCGTTGGTGCTGGCATCGATTTGGGGCTGGGGGAGGGGGGGGGGAAGTCCCCCTTGATCTCTGCGGCATGCCGTGATTCAGCTAAGGGAGGGGAGACACGGGCTTTCCGAAAATCCCCCCGAGAGGTGGGATGGAGGGAAGCGTCGGTCGGCCCAAACCCTCAAACCCCCGCCGGTGGCTAAAAGCCTGCACGGCGGTTATCAGGGCGCAAGCCCACGGCAATCGAGGAGGCTTTCACCAACGATACCCGAATGTCAGATTTAAGGCTGAGAGATGGAGAGGTAGGGGAGGGAAAGAAAAAAAAAAAAAAAAAAAAAAGGGCTCTTGAATACACCCAGTGCCCAGAGGAAGACCCTCAGCGTGTCCCGGCCTGGAAAATGATGAGGGGAAACCCCTTCTGTGTCCCCTGCCAGCGCGCCGGCCGTTTTAGGACTGCCACCTCTCCCTCCCCAGCCCAGGACACCCACCTCACCCCACACAGCCCCACTGCTCCCCCACCGATATACACCGGTCGCATCCCAACGCCTGCTTCTTCCCCCATTTCCTCCAGCCTAACTGCTTTCAGGCCCGACTCGGGCTCAACAAAAACGAGGCCTGGAAAGGGCCCCCCCTCCCGCCGACGGCAATTTGGCTTTGCACCTCAGCTTTGTGCCGTACCTGCGGCGCCTGAGTTACAAAGCTCCAACAGCTCCCCGCGCGCACCGCGAAGGAAACGAGCGCGTATTTTACGCCAATTTACGCCCCGATTTCGGCGGTTGCTTCGCTTGGTTGGCAAACCGAACCGTAAAGCTGTGGGGGCTCAAGTCTCCGAGGCGGGTGCCCTGAGCTGTGACTGCCCGCCCCGCCGCCGGCGGGTAGGAAAAACGCCGTAGAAATAACCAAAAGCGGGACAGCCAACATTATAATGAATTTACAGAAAACCACGGCGGCGGTTGAGGCTGCGGCACTGGCTGAGGGGGGGGGCCCATGGGCCTCACCAGCCTGCAGCCCCCCCGTTAGCAAGAGGAAGGCGGCAATTCAACCCGAAGCAAACGCCCTTGGGGATCTTTCTGGTTTTATTTTTACCGTTCTTAGTGGATAGATAAAGATGCCGAAAGAAGGTTTTGGCCCCGTGCTCCTGGGCACGCAGGTCAGCGGAGGGCGAGCAGGGAGGGAAAGCGAAGCAAAGCAGGAGGAGGAGCGGGGAAGGGTGGACGGAGGCTGTTGGTCATGAAGTGACGGGAGTGAGAGCCAAAATAAATGCCAGCTTACAAAATGTCATGCAACTGGGTGTAACTCTTCCTCACTCAAGACTTGATTTATTCTTCTGTCGGGATTACAGCTGAATTTTCACACAGTGAAAGCCACTGGGCTGAAGCAAATTAACTTATTTTGCTGTGACAGGCTCAGTTATAGGAAGAAGTGGAGGATGTATAAGGTAGCTTTTTTTTAAAAAAAAATCATGTATTTCCTGAAGAAGCGTCACTCTTTCAACATAAATATTCATTATTTTCCAATTTTTATCACAGTGGGATTCTCATGTTATCACGACCTTAGCTAAGAGCATGCATGGAAAACCCTCTCATGTTAAAATGTGCAGAAGTCTCCAGATTTGTTTCCCTCTGTATCATCGGGACTGCAGGATTTTCAACAGACGATAAAGAGAGCGTAGGAGATGATTAACTGGGTGAACAATACTCTGACTGGCCCCGGTCTTTTTGTCATTCTTCCACAAAGCAGCGTTTTAAAAAAGCAAGAAGTGCATTACTTAATCGCGTTAATAATCTGTCCAAAAATGTTTGCCAGATAATTTTATGAAGATGGAATTGCCCTGATAACCCCACTGAAGCAGAGACATAAATTATCATGAGTAAGTGTTGATAAAGAAAACAACCCAATAACTTGATCCAGAATAGTGAAAGTATATCAGGTGAAATTTATGACACTGGTAAAAATGGCAATATGCTGTCTCCAAAAAGGCAAAAGAGTAAACCGCAGATGTGTACAAGTGACTTTCTGATTTGACAGAAAAATATATTATAGATTTAAAGATGTTAATATTCTTAAAAGAGAGCCTGAATTTAGAAAATCACTATGACTCATGCTGGGAGGTTTGAAGAGATGATGAATAATGATCTGGGAAAAACACGCCATTCTGTAATATGACATGATGAAAAAATTATCACATTGTTGCCGGTTTTGGGCGCCTGCCTGCAAGTTCCAAACACCTTTCCTTCTTCAATCCTTCCGGAAAGCTCGCTGTCCTGGGAACACGTTTCCAATATCTTTTGGTTTTCAATGTTCAGGAGAGCTGGTTTGCAGAGCTGCCGGTGCGGCAAGCGTCGGCCCAACGCCTCCGGCCACGCCGAGCCGAGCACCTCGGGATGCCGTGCTCAAGCCTTGGGCACCCAGTTGACCAAAAAAAAGGGCAAACGGCCTTGAAAGCACCTAGTAATGAGTCATAATATTTGCTATTGAGCTCGCCAAGTACCGGGAGATGCCTCCAGCCATCGCGCCGCCCCACCGCGGTCCCTCGCTGGGGGTGGGTGGGGGCAGCCGGCTGCAGGTGTTTGGAACCCCCAGCCCGCGCACGGAGATGGGAGAGATTTTCTTTTCCCCTTCCGTCTTGGCTCTTCCCCTCAATTCCCTTCGCCTCTCAGGCACTGGTTGTACCGTTGCCAGAAGATTTCCAATTTCCCCTCCAAGTTCTAAGCGCTTGCTCCATTTTCCTGCTGGCGAGATGCTCTGCGCGGGGCAGGCGGGACGGGAGGGCATCCCTGTGTCAGCGGGGCTCCCAGGACTGGCTGCTGTCGTTTGCGCTCTCAAGGATCCCAATTTTTTTTCGTCCCAACCTGGCTCGCACTCCTAGGACCGGGATTGCTGCCCAGCTAGGCTTGTTGGGTGGCTCTGCACCCCAGGAGCCCAACGGGAGACCCCAGCGTGCCGAGGGTGGCCCGGTCCCCAGCCAGAAACACTCTGACCAGCAACACGAAAAAAACCTAAATATTAAAAAATACAATCAAATCACTAGGTCTTTCCTTTACAGCCGCTCGAGGGACACGCTCAGCTGCGCTCCTCCCAGCTCTGCCATCACACCAGCAACTGCTCTGCCAGGCTGGATTTCCCCAGCTTTCAGTTGCAAAAAAAAAAAAAAAAAAAGAATTCAAAAATAATAATTCTGTACTTTAATATGCATAAGGAGCAGACAAACACACACAGACACACACACACACACAGCCCCCGCCGCCTTTTCTGTGGGCTGAC